GGCGGCGCTTCTTCTACATTCTTAACCTGTCATCGATTATAGCACCATATAATACTAGAGGATATCTGTGAACTTTAAGATCGCCCTAAAATTAACAAGATAATTTAAAAAACGATGCAATCGGCTATTAAGCACTGCAGTCTTAACAAGCAGCAGACACAAGTACTTATCTGCTCCCCGCTTGACGCTTCAGGTTTCACTCCTACGAAAAGAGAAGCACCGCTATGCAAGAAGGCATCTACAGGCTATTATTAAGGTATTCGGAACGCACACGAAAAAGTCGATGCCCGATCTAAATGCGATGCTTATATGCGGAAGCAACGTCGTACACGAGATAATTGCGCCTATAGTGCGATCGCGGAGAACGATACGGCTATACCCCTGCCATCGTTGTTGTCTCCTGTACTTAGCAGTCCGAGCGCACGACTGAGTCCTCGCAGGGGCTAACGGCTCCGACGATGGGGAAACGAAAGCGGCGCATATCGCTTGGGACTCGGACGGGGAAGGACTTGGCGTGCGTCCTGCCGAGGAAAAAAGAACGCGCGCGCAACGGAATTAGGGGAGCGTGAAGCCCCCGGAGCCATTCTTTGCTTCCTCTCTTCCTTCCTTCCTTCCTGCGTTTTTTACGCGCTTTTTTTCTTTCGATAATTTCAGTGCAGCCAGCCATTGAGCCAGCACGTTGCAGAGATGTGCCGCAGCGAGCAGAGCATTTCGTTTTAAAGAATAGGGGTTATTAAAGGTGTTTGTTCAAGAATGCTAGAGAATAAATGGAGAGCAATAAAAGATCACGAGACGTCCATATTTTGTTGCATTTTCTTTATTCTTGTAACATTACCAGCATGAGGAAATGCGGACCAACTGACCATGCGAATACAAGGAAGTGAATGACAAACGCTGCTGGAAACGCGCCCCATTTTTTTTTTTTTTTATCGATAATTTTAGAAAATTGCGGATAACATTGAAATTAGATAACGTATAGTTCCGAAACTTTGGACTCTGGTCCAGACCACAAGCTCTATTTTGGGGCAGATACTGAGCGTTCGGCAATGCGGAGATTATTTTTGCGGCAAGGAAAACATGGTTATCTCCTTCTTTTTTTTTTTTTTTTTTCCCCGAACACCCGGTATATTGTTCAAGTACACGTATTTTACTATCACGCTGCCTCGTGATGCTTGGTTTTGTTTTCTTTAGCAGCCCGTTCATGACGTTCCCGGGAAAAAGAAGATAGAAGCACTAAAACAAAAGAACGACGTTGCTTGTTAGCAAAACGTTTATATTTTATGTAGCAATCTATCGGTGAAATTTAAAGGGGTCATGAAACGCTTTTCCGACTTTTTCCTGTTTAGCTTTTCTCCTCAACTCAAATCGCTCATTCTACCAAACAGTTCAAGAAGGCGAAAAGAGCGGAGTTCCCTCTTGCTCGGAATCTCGTTTCCATACCCGGACAGAGCCATTGTCCCCCTAGAAGATTAGCCCGTCACTCAAAATTCGGACAAAAGTTGCTTTTCCCACCCTGTTCACCCTGAAGCTGACATGCTGTCGAAGCTACGTGCTCCTTGGGCCAGCCACACTTTTGCCACGTGATCACGCTCTCTCGCGAATACCCACGCGCAGAGAATGAGGTCAGGTGATGAAAGGGAGGCGGCTGATTGGTCCAGCAAGCACGTAGCTTTCACCAGGGGTGGAGGGAATAAGGGAGGCCCGGTATCGTGTGACGTGCGTTTGGACCCGGTGACGCGCTTTGGGAACCGCGGATGTATCGCAGTGAAGAGGCAGAGAGCTTACGAAGGGGAGGAGGTGCGAAATAGTCCGCTGTGTTTTCAGATTTCCGCACTGAAAGTCAGGCTCTTGACTTTCTACCTTTTTTCTTTTGGCCCACTGAACGATGTGCTATTAGTAAAATCCCGATCTAAAGTGATTTATACCAGCCCAAAATTCGTTTCATGGGCCTTTTAAATGATATCTAGCGGACATTGTAATAAGGTGACGCACCTCTGACTTCCTGTATATGGCGCAGCATGAATGAAGTGAGGGGAAAAAAAAAAAAGAAAGCTCTCTCTTAAAAGCTAAAGGGATCGGGAATTCCGCATTCATTCCCAAGGCGTCCCTAACATTTATGAAGTGATGAAAGAGGACCGCGTCAGTCGCTTTTTAAGACAGAGGCTTTACTTGTCCCATTGCGCGTTGTGCCCGAAAGATGGCCATAAAAATACGTCATAAACCACGCGCCACTCTATCGTAAGCTCAAGGACGACGTCGTCCTTGGCTTCGGCCTTGAGGTCGTCCTAGACGTCATCCTTTAGGCGTCGTTCTCGACGTCGTTCAAGACGTCGTCCTGGAGGCCATCGTAGAACATCATCCTAGGCATCGTCCCTTCGGCGTCGTTCTCGACGTCGTTCTAGACGTCGTCCTGGCGGCCATCCTAGACGTCATCCTAGGCATCGTCCTTTCGGCGTCGTTCTCGACGACGTCCTAGACGTCGTCCTTGAGGTCGTCCAAGAGGTCGTCGTAGAAGTCGTCCTAGTTGTCGTAGATGCCGTCCTTGAAGTCGCCCGAGAGGTCGTCCTCGGTGTCGTCCTAGACGCCGTCCTTGACGTCGTTCTAGAGGTCATCCTAGACGCCGTACTTAGCGTCGATCTCTAAGACGTCGTCCTCGACGCCGTCTCATACGTCGTCGCAAACTTTAATGCGTTGAAACATTACTCGGAGACATTTCTCCCGAGGGTCTATAATGCTTTTGCCTTCCTACACGTACGCAGTCTTGAGAACCTCCTGTAATTTGTGTAATAACTTAATTATAAAAAGAGCAAGATTTCGTAAGAAAGGAACAATAGTTCAGAAATACTAATCACAATCTTTCCGGTATACGCGCAAAAATCACAGCTCTGTGAATCCGCTTAAAGGGGCGGTGCAACGATATTTAATTGGAATGTTTTTCACTTTACACGAGCTTACTGGCCCCAGTGGAACTCAAGGATACTCGCACCAACGCCAGTGGCCAGGAAGCTCGTTTGTTGCGGTGTAATTTTAAGGACAAAAGACAGCGTTTTTATTCAATCTCTCCTTCGCAAAACTTGATGACGTAGCTGGAGGGTCGCAGTACCACCCAGTGACAATATTTGAATGCGGCTCATAGATTAGAACTGAGCATTTGTGGGCACTCGATTTTGGCTCGTGATAATTAATAGCTCGGGAAGCCTTCAGTTAGTGGCCCATGTCCAATCGCTGTAATGACGACAATAGCCGAACCCTAAAAATGTCTGGAACTCAGCGCGTGTGCTGTGTCTTGCCTACCCCAGTGCGTGGCAATGATCAACATCACGTGGCAGCCAGTGTTGCCAGATTGGGCTTTATGTAGCCAAATTGGGCAACATTTTTTTCTAGTTGGCGTCAAAATTTTGCTTTTGGCTCTGTGGCTATTTTTGGGCTATATCTAAGGGTGCGGCGAACTCTTGTCGGACCTCAGGTTCGACGTCGAACTTTGAGGTTCGACTAGTTAATTTTCGAACTTCTAGTCAGTTTCGAAAAAAAAAATTGTTTCTCTTTTGGCTAGTCGAAAGGAGAGAGAGGAAGGAGAATGACTTCAAACTTCGGGGTTTTCACAATGCGCAGAGAAGCAGTGCTAGCAGAGTTCAAGCGGTCTCCCCACAGCGCAGTGAAGCAAATCAAACAAACAAATTGCACTGTTTTTACAGGTACGGTAGCGCGTCTTCTACCCGGACGTAGACTGAACTCTCCAGACGCAGCTTTGGTGCCCATTGCGAAAATTCTTAGGCATCGCCAACTTTAAGAAAAGAAACACAATCAAAATATCGTGAACCGGAACGGGGGACGCTCATATTCTACACAAAGAAAAATAGACGGGTGGGTTATTGGTGAGAACCTTATATATAGGGGGTGCTGGTTTGAAACTCCCAGTTCTGACTGTTCTGCTTCTGCATTCTGTTTTTTTTTTTACTGTATGATTAAATCTCCCGGGCTTCACAATACAGCTGTCCATGTATGTTTTCTATTTCTGAAAACCTACGAAGGATGGGTAATTGTTTCACAAATTTTCATCCTTCTGGAGCTTTTTTTTATATATCAGCGGACAGCTGTAGCTTTTTTGTATAAAAGTGCCGCATCTGAGGGTTGAAAACAAGAATTTAACGTGTTGTTTTTTGCGCGTATGAAATATTGTCAATAAAAGGCTTAAAAATTGTTGTTTTTAGTCTTGGCTATTTTGGGCTATATTTATTTTATGGCTTTGGCTATATTTGGGCTATACCTCCCAGCCGTTTGGCGGTTTTTTGGTGGGACCATCTGGCAACACTGGTGGCAGCTTGTTTTGACTGCGAACGCTACTCGTTTTCTTAAATTGTTTCTGCGAATTCGATTGCGTGTGGTGAAAAACGACCGGGTGCTTTACAGGTCATTAACGCCAGAGATCCGTTCTGAGCGGTATTTGCGCAAATAAAAAAATCCGTGCATCGCCCCTTCAATTTTGGTTAAATGGCAAAAACCCTTCTTTTAAAGGGTACGACATTTAAGAAGCAACATTTTAAAGATTGATTAAACTCATTGTACTTACAAGCTAAAAATAATATTGGTTGAGCCAAAATAATCCTTTATTATTTTTTTTTAAAGTGTTTACAATTACAAAAACAAAAACGAAAGCAAGGCTAATAAAGTTGGGCACCGTACCCAAGACGACAGAATTAGTTTTAATCAATATATGTCTAAATTAAATACTACTCGGCCTAATGATAAAGCTTCAGAAGATCATTTGTGTAGACAACTACGACTTTCATCATACTAATAAGCCTGAGAGTACTGACACCATTAATTTCCATCATTATTTTTGGGACGTTCAGCTAACATCAAGTTCAGTTCATGCATTGAGACCGTGCGCACTCTTTTCTGTGACCTTTCAATCCGTACGCGCAGTCGCTTGAACCAGAACCGGTATTCGCGCTACTCGTCATCATTATTACTCACTGGGTGTCATTTTTCCTGCGCAGTGTTGGACGCCACAGGACGACCGGCGGCAGGCACGCTGGAAGGCACATTGTCCGACTTTGGAAATTACGACGAGTGTCTCAAGATCCGGCTGATGGACGACTACAGCGGCGAAGAGACCTTCCGTGGCAAGTACTGCACTCTCAAGTTTGCAGCGCCCATGCCTCCGAAGCCAGAGCGACTAAACTACCATCAGAACCTTTTCAACACCACGTTGGACGAAGGAGGGGTGAGGAAACTTCTATACATGTGGTAGAAGACTACAAAGTCACCGACAACTTCAGAACCGCAGGGCTTGTTCCGAACATCTTATGGCTCGGCAGCCAAGGAGATTCATCCATAAGCCGAAACAAACGCCGAGGGGCGAATCATAAAGGCAGAAGCGTGAACATCAGAATCCACATTCTGCGTTTCTTAACGTGTCTGTCACTATATAGATGTGCAGGTATACGATAATTGGGGCCTTTACGCGAAGCTTGCTGCTTTTAAACTTTTGTCTTTAAACTGAACTTTCAAGTTTCATTCAGCGAACATAAAACTTAAACAAAAACGCCTTGCGCTGTCACGAAATATGACGAGTGACTTGACAATCCATCTCCTACTCATGTGTGAGATTCTAATTGCTGCGAGGAAGTCACTGTTCAATATGAGGGAACGGTAAGCCATTAAACAAATCAAGCCCTGTAACGAAAACTATAGTCATAAAAGACAGGAGTCCAATGACTTTCTTATGTTTTTCATATAGAATTTATGGAAAGCGGTAGTTTTATTAAGATTAAAGTACATGTGAAGCACCACACTCTTTTGTATCTCTAAAATTTTTCTGACATCTGACATTTGCGATCAATATGCCGCTTCATTATTTTCATCGTTTTTAATTACTAAAGGTATAAATATCAAATATGATTAAAACAAAATACTAGCGGTTGTACCGCACTGGCTAAATTTCTCATCTACAGCTGAACACCAGACGAGAAGACCATTGGGGCTGACTAGCTTTCGGCTGTGTAAACGTATACACACAAGTATTGATAGACACCCGACGTTGTGTTGTAATTTCATTCCGCCGCTGAAGTGGCGGAATGAAATCATTCCTAGGAAAGCATAAACGTAGTTTTGTTGAACAGGTTTGTATGTGTTCCGTTTTGAAACCGGGCTTATGGCAGTAGGCTTCATTTCATTGAATGTTAGGTAGCCTAGCAGGCCTGCTTATTATGCATCAGTAAGCTGCACTGATATGCAAGGTCGAATGGATATGTGTATTGCGAATATCGTTTAAACTAAAAATGATGCCTCTTCAATGTCTGCACATATTGAATTAGCGAGTGGAGTTCTTACTTTAAAGGGTCACTGATATGGTATTTATACTCGCCGTAGTTTTCTTTTTTAATGATTTATAAGAGCCTAACTACCCAGAACACAATTCGCTGCTCGAAATTTGTTTTCTTTCCGAGCTAAAACAGCCGGTCGAGAATTGGCTGGTTTCAGTCGCGTTCAAACTGCGTGTACCAAATATACTAGAGTGAAGCTGTATATGACTAACTGGTGGGGGATTTCCATGTCCGTCGACAGAACAGTAATCGACAAAAACAATCGCGCGCGCCTTATTTCTTATTATGTGGTTTCGACACTTGTTCCAATAAGGAAACCACAATACAAGTATCAAAACCACATGACAGTTGATAAGCACGTAGCGCTTCCCGCGTGCGTTTCGCGGTAAAGATTGCGGTTTCATAAACTGCCGTGGGAACGGCAGCTTACTAAGTCTTTCATATATAAAAATGTTTTGGTGCAATGCATTTACTTTTCTTTCGTCAATCATTTGGTATAGAGCTTTTTGCTGTTCACAAACATAAACTGCCGCTTGCGTCTCAAGCAAGTTCCGGTACCAGCGTCTTTGCAAGCCTGTTGAGCTGGCTTATGTCACCAGTGCACGAAAGCATAAATGCTACACGGACAACGCAGTTGGGAGATTTAACAAGGGCCTTCGGCTGTACAATATTAAATTTCAGAGGAGGCAAGTTGGGTTGCAAGAATGCTTGAAATATTTTAACAGATATCGCACACCGTCTTTCTTTCGGCGTTCACCAGGATAATTCGTGGTTGAACGGTTCATCTACATTTCAAGCAGCGGCGTTAAGGTGGCCTTTGTTCATTCTTTTTATAAACCGGAAGTTCTCTGTGACGTCAAAGACTGGAGCACTACCTGATGGCGTTTGCCATAGAAGGGCCTATAGAGCAGTGGGCAATCGTTGCAGGTGATTCCACAGCTTCGCTGTCCAACTAGCTTCACGGCGTGGATTTGAGCCTTAATTTTCCAAGTCGTGGGACAACTAAGGCTCACATTCAATATTTCCACGAATGACAAATGATAAGGCGGCGAATAGCTGAAGAAACTAAACGTTTAATGGGGCGAACTCGTGCCCAATACAAGATAGAAGAAGGTTAGCGTTGAAGGTGTCGATGCCGGCGAAACAGCAGGATCGAGCGCTGGGGCAAGACTGACTCCGGCTCTCCACGCGGAGCTCCTTATGTATACGCGTGGGCTTCTGGAACGGTCATTGTAGAAGGTTCGGCGCGCAGAATATTCTAACCTGGAACAAGCAACATGGTTCGCGAATTTACCAGAACGGGACATCCACACAAAACAGCGAGAAGGTGTATCCACGGCCAGGCATCGAACCTCGGCTCTCTGCGTGGGAGCCAAGCGCGATAAACGTTCGGCCACGGGGGCGCTGCATACTGTGCCAATATTAAAAATAGAAAAATAATATGAAACCCATTTTTGTGGCTTCCAAGAAACTGAAAAAACGTTAATATACAAAAAGAAAAATGTTGCACAGATCTCAGGAAGTTTATGTACACGTCATTCTCGATGTGGCGACGTACTGCGGGCTGGAAGACACGATGGCGCCGCTTGACGGACCAGCATTTGGACGGACCTGGGCCAGCTACTTCGGAACCGTCGTTCGTGGTGCCGGCCAACAGGTCTTCAAGCGAAGAACATCGAGCGGAAGGAATATAAGTGCGAAACAATCGCACGACAAATGGTGGTTGTCTGCTTCACACTAGAAAAAAAGCAAAGAGAAAAAGAAAAAGAAAACAAAACACGAGGTCGTGTGTAGTTGCGTGATTTCCGGCCATGTGCTTCTGTGTTCGCGTTTCCGCTTCGGTTTCAAGCAATGGAGATTTTTTTTTTTTTTTTTTGCTTTTTAAATATATGCGTAACTCAGCAGCAACATAAATATTGGGTAGTCTCCTGACGCTATTTTAAATTGCCTGGCAAAACTAATAATAATAAAGCTTTTTTTTCGGGGGGGTGGGGGGGGGGGTGGTATTTTAATATTTTAAGCCTGCGGTCAATCTCATAATGACACACTCTAAAAAAAGCCTGTGCGTCTACTTTCCCGCAGAATACTTGGAGAGCCAATCACCACAACTTACGGAGGCAGCTCAGCGAATGACGATGCCGAAACATATGTTTAGACAAAAAAAACGCAGTCTGAGTTGTGACATTAAGAAACGCAAAACGTCACGCTTGCATTGCTTAATGTCACAACTCAGACTGCGTTTTTTTCGTCTAAACATATATATCGGCATCGTCATCCCTAGAGCTGCCTCCGCAAGTTGCGGTGATTAACCCTCCAAGTGTTGTGTAAAAAAAAAAAAAAAAAAAAAGAAAAACGCACTTTTTTTTATTTTAAGAGTTATATTTTCTAACGACCTCATTGTTTCTTGCTGACCCCACAGCTGCTAGAGGACATGGCAAGAGGGGCACCCTACTTCTACCACCTGTCCCCTAAACTTGGAATTTGCATTCCTTCACCTTGTACAGGCGGAGATATTGAATCACTTATAAATACAGGTAAGCAAACAGCGTCTTGCAAATGGATTATCGTCCGCTAGTGAGCAGGTCATTAAAATTGTTCTAAAACTACACATCTTTTAGAATTTTCACGTGTTTGTAGAAAAAGTACCATAGATATTTTACACCATAAAACAAACCTGAAAAGAGGGCTTCTACGTCCAGAGTACGTGATGTTAATTTAAAGAGTATTTGAGCAGTACGTTATACTTCATGTTTAAAATGTTTGCTAACATTTAAAAATAAATTTTTGTATTTTTCTACAGCCCGTTGCTTTAAGAAAACAGACCTTAGGGTGGGTAAATTAGTTTTAAAAAATTTAATATGCTTGGAAATCCCACCAAGTAAATAAATCAAGAATAGTAAAAGTCAAGAAACATTTCCTAGTTTTACAATACGCTAAATTGTCGGAATCATTTGACGTCTTACGAGTTGGTACTCACGTTGTTCTAGCGATAACAAAATAAACAATTTGGCACAATTCTGAATAAATAATTTTTCTATATATTAGAGACCGATTCTTATCTATTATTTTTTCGCCAAACACATTTTACATTAATTATTTTATGTTTAGTTTAAATTTTGGTATAGAATATTGTTTTGAGAGTCTCGTAAAAATATTGCACCAGTGAAATATTTTCCTTGCAGTCCTTAAACCATTAAGCTGGAACGTCACCGCCATCAACTGCGACGTAGATGGGCCAATAACCATCAAGAAAAACCAACTAGCCATCATGTAAGTTGACTTTTTAAACTTTCCTTGTGGATAACTTTGTAAGCAATATAGGCTAATTAAAGATCCATGGAGCTTCACAAACTAATAAGGGGTATGCGTATGCTTTCTTACAGCGTTGTCATAGGCGTTATTGTATTTCTCTGCCTTTTGGGTACCTTGATGACTGCATGCCGCCGGATGTGCTCAGAGGACAGCAGCAACCTTAGACCTAGTGAGTAAATTCCAGACCACTTAAAGATAAAATTGGAAGCATTTTGTGGCACTACTGTCTTTCTTAATATATTTAAAGTTTATACTTTTCAAGAGGATATAAATAAAGCTAGAAACTATAACGGTTTACATCCTTTGTTTTTAATTTGCACGTGTAACATGCTCATAATGATGACACTCTTCACCAGATTTATTCTTCGAAATCATGAAATGCTTCTCACTCTACGACAACACCGTGAAGCTCTTCAACACCAAATCGACTCAGGGGACTTTGGGTGTCCTTCATGGCGTCAAATTCCTCAGTATGTGCTGGGTCATCCTGTGCCATAGTTACATCTTCCTTAATCCTGAACGAGTTGGTATGTTTATCCTTCTTTCTTTCTTTATCCTTCTTTTTCCATATCTGCTTAATGTACAATGGAAATAAGATCACCTAACGTATCTGAGTGGTGATTGTAAAGCGGTTTGTATTATATCGTGAGCTGTTTTTTTTTTATTTTCTTAACTGTAACAGAAAATTTGAATATAGAGTACTACCTGAATTGGAGCACTTGTCAGAAAATAACTTTGCTTTGGTTAGGCTTTAAATCTTGAAGCACGAACCTGTGCTTTTAGCCTACACTTAACCAAAATAGCTCGACCATCTAAAACCATAGACTATCAACCCGTTGTGCGGATAAACGAAGACTAATACAGTAACGGAGGAGCGAAGGCAATGTTCAAGGAAAGGGATATCCCCCTAAACCTCAAATTGACTAAGCTGATCTGATAAATGCTGCGTGCAACTACTGAAGGCAAACGCTTTTTTAGCTTTCTTTGAAAGCTTTTTTTGACAATATTACTTCTAGGGCTGATCACACAGTACTTTACACTAGAAGAGCTTAGTAAATGAGCAGAGTTACCGCTAACCCCATTCATACCATCTGATTTTTGCAATGATCATGGAACAGACTGGCGTTTTGGTGATTCTAGTTCTTTACAGGACGATTATGATTGCAGTCAATACTTTTTATGTTTACGTGAAAATGATCCTACTCGAAACATTACCATGCTTTAAAGAGGTTGCTTCTGTATTGCAGTTATTTTACATTTAGGGTGAGCATGTAGTATCAAAGGATGGTGGGCCTCACATAACGCCGAGTTTCAAAATCGAGCTTTTGGTGAGGCCAGCATTTAAAAATCTTCTGTATAAGCATGTATTTTAGGTATATATAGCATAAGATGTTGTGGCAGTTGCGGATCTTTTAAAAAGGAGATGATTAGACATAACATTAAACTTCTCTTTCAGTGTCTCTCGAAAATATTCATGAGGATCCATTCACTTATTCGTTTCAAATCATGATGAATGGATGGCTTGCCGTTGACACCTTCTTCATGCTGGGGTAACTCACATTTTTGTTAACGAAATATATATATATATATATATATATATATATATATATATATATATATATATATATATATATATATATATATATATATATATATATATAGACAAAGTATCTTTACAACAAATATATTGATCACGAAGCTCAGGTACTAGTCCTTATAAGAATTTTCTAAATGCCTTGTTTATTCTTATCAATGCAAACATAACTTGGATGAAATCTATACACGCTGATCATTTCTGTTTAATGATTACTGCATAAGTATATGTTTAGCAGAAGAAATATTTTATTGTATGGAAGAGTCAAGAATTGGCAAGTTTATATAAAAATATTTAATGTGGAACAAATTTTATGATCTTAGTATGCTTTTTATGACCTCTTTCGCGCTTGCCATTATCACTTGATTTCATCTGCAGTGCTTTTAATTTTCAGTGGCATCACTCTGGCATATTCAACGCTGCGCCACATGGCGGATAACAAGGGTCGACTCAACATCTTAATATATTTCTTCCACCGAATATTCAGGTTGTAAAATGTTTGTTTCCTCCTTTTTCACAATTGTGTCCCATGCCTAGCAAAGCATGAGCTCTCGAGCATTTCTTTAGTAGCAAAGGAAGACTGACACGCCTTATTTGGGTAGTCAAGAGTCTCACGGTTGCCAATAATAGGTCCTTGGGGTGGACCGCATGTGGTATCAGCTGTTAATTTTGGTTTGGGTTAGTGGAAACAAGGCTCTGGCAGAGGGAGCAAAAAAATTAAAACCACAAAGTAAAAAAAAAAAAGGTCTATGCGCTCGTGTTTTTTTCCAGTCTTTTTTGTAGGGTATTTTTAGTCGCAATGCTGACGTGTCCACGTAACTGAAATTCATGATCTCTCCCTAAATAAGTGATTATATTCTGAGACTGCGGTATCTTCATTTATTTATTTTCGGAGAGCAGCTGGTGCTATTAACGCCTCAATTTACTTTATCTTGCGGTGTAACGGTGTGCCACTTTTAACAGCAGGTGTTCATGGCAACTTTTAGTTGTCACTAATTCCCAAGTCACTTTCAATTGATGTCACTTGAAAATACTTGTACAGCTGGTAGGTCAATCTACCCCACGATATGGCGTAATGTTGTGACACGGCAGTGATAATATAATCTCTAACATGAATTACGCGGTAGTGATTCCAGGAACGCAGACTCATTTAGATATCAACCGACGGCTGTGAAAACGGAACCTATATACGCTTTGGATCTAGAGGGAGGCTTTCGCTTCACATGGTCCAATGCATGAGAAAAAACCATACACTGGTTGTAGACTGACAAGTGTTGCAATTCACTATTGATAATCAGAGTTTCGTACTATTGTCACTCTGTGTCTTCCAAGTCCAGGACTTCCACTTTATTTCGGGTGGACATCATGACGAGAAAGAACGGTCGAGGGTGCACTTGCCGTCGATGATTACTTCTTGGGTGCGTCGCTGAATGTGAACATAGACACTGCTGCACACCTCCAGGATCGTTCCTCCTCTGGGTTTCACCGTCGCCTTGATCATCTTGCTCCCCCTGTTCGGGCGGGGTCCCGTCTGGCATGAGATCGTCGACGTCCAGGCCAACAAGTGCGAGCAGAACTGGTGGCAGACGATGCTCTTTTTCGCCAACTTTGTCACCACCTATGATTCCATCGTAAGGAGACACGTTTATATCAAGAAAAAAAAAAAAGATTTGCAGCGAAAGACGCTTCTATGTGGAGCCCAAGTTCGTCTGCTTCTTTAGCAAGAGTTGCGGTGACGTCAGAACGCCGAGCTATGATTGGCTCCGATTGGAAGGATAGCTGGTAGACCTCAAGGTAGCTAACAATAAGGTCTACCCACTATCTTTCAATCAGAGCTAATCAGAGCTCGGCGTCTTTCTGACGTCAATACCGTCCCTGCCGAAGAAGCAGACGAACTTGCGCTCCGCTTAGTCACTGACAGATTTTAAAAAAGCAGGGCGTGGCGACGTTCGAGCATCTAATTATCGCTCCGCAGCCAATAATATTGCGGCATTATACTGATAAGAGCGCCACAGTACCAATCACGGAGCGAGAAGCGCGTAATTATAATAATAAGTCACGCCCTGCGTTGCTTAATCTGTAAAAGGGACCTTCGTACACTTCTTTTCCTCGGTTCGTCAACGCATCTGATAAATGTGCGTGTTTCGCAATTCAATGTCGGTATATAGTGTCTACGAAAAAAATCTGGACCGTGTTTTTTCTCACCTGTAGAATGAACTTCGCGTCGCAAAATTTTCAGTATCCGCCCGAAGGTAGCGTTAGCGGTTGGGATCAGATGCAAAATCTTTCATTACTTGAATATGTCTGATTCAATTGTTATAAAAACAATTTGTGGAAAGCTTCACCGCGATAATTTGGCTCGGTCCGGTGACAGACGTTATGCATTTCCATGCATTCGTGAGCACCTTTTGCAGCGTGTTGTCTCATTGAACACTTTTAAAATCGCATACAAGTTTTTAATTAGTTAGCGGTAGGCCGTTAAACCTTGCCATTTTATTCCAACCACAAGTGCTACATGGGTCCGGAGACTGTGGTGTGGGCAATGTGTAGTTTATTTTTGCGTTGCAAAGATGCGGTTCAGACTTCTCCCAAGAGCCATGTAGTATTATATAGACCATAAGCGAAAAGTGTGGAGATACTCATGTGTGCCTTTATTATTCAAATTCAGAAGCCACTGGCGTGTATGTAGTATAAAATAAACGAACAATATAGTTTATAGGATGCTTGTAGAGTGTTGACTTCGGTTTAATTACCCATATCTAGTAGGTGACGTGAGTCTCTATGAGGCACGCGTTTTTTGGCCAATTTCTTACTAGAGCTGGCTTTATGCCAGCTTCAAACATTTGTGACATACCATCGTTGATGCTCGATTCCAAGAAGGAAAAAAAAAAGTAAATCACCAGACGCTGCGGTAAAGCGAGTCAATCAGATTCGCCGTTTTAAACACGTATTGAGAGAGCCGCGGTATGATGGGCACTTTGACTAAATTCCGTTGGCTCGCGTAACAGCTCATAGATCGTTTCCGTAATAGGGCGTGTGACGTTTTACACTGTCGGTACTGAAGTAAACATGTTCTTTACCTAGAAGGGAAGCATGGAGCTGCCATAATTGGAACCGGGTTAAGGCATAAGTTGTTTTAAAATAACACTGTAAAATGTTTTTATTGCAAGTGCTTGGAGACTACATGGTACCTGCAGTGTGACATGCAGTTTTACATCCTTGCCTTGGCCATAATTCTTCCTATGTACAAGTAAGTGATAACAAAAAATGCCGAATTTTTATTTGTCTCACTTGACGTGAAGCACTTCCCGTCTATCTGCTCACTGAAGTCCATATCGGATTATTTTCGATGGGAGCTGTATTTGCTAAAAGTGCAACTCCCTATAACCTCTGCACGATTTATCTCATACTTAAAAAAGTAAAGATGTGATATATTTCAACCGAAGCAGAAATAGGTGTACTCTTGGAGCAAATAAAAAGTGTGCCGAAATATTATCCTTTAGGGTGGGTGAGCAAGGAAATTGCAGCGTCTGAAGAAACTACTTGTAAACAGACGAATTGTATAGTTGAATATAATGTAAATATCTTGACGTCACGCTTATAGTATACTTTTCTAAATTTGTCTTGGAATTATTTTATAATATATACGTGGGTTTCCAATCGTAATGTTTAATGAAGATTCTTGTAAATTTCCCAGAAATGAGATGCACAATGACGACAGAATATTATTTCTGAACTCGAGCAGCTTGAATTTTTGAAGGCTGCGTCATAATATTGGGAGTTTTTCTCAAATTTTCTCACCCGAAAAGGAAGTTTGTTCAGAAGAAACAAATATTTAATAAGCGTTGGAGATTGATAAAAAAGGTGAATATGTAATTCAGTCATTCATTTTCATACGATTTAATGTATTGTAAACATCGTGATTTATTTAGAAGAAAATTGTAACTGTTTCACTTACATACTTTTTCTTTCTTCCCAGACACCCGATCCTGGGAAGCCTCATCAACCTTATGTTCCTTGTTGTGTCGTTCATAATTACCGCGGTTATCATAGTCTACTACAACTTCCCTGCCATCATGATCTTCTTACATCCCGACGTTGAGTAAGTAGACGGTGGTGTATTTCAGTTATATTAGATGAGCTCTGAGTCAATTTACAATAATTTCTAGAAAAAAACTGTTTACAAAAATATGTATTTGCCCTCTTGGCTAAGCGTGCAAACACATAAAAAAGTGTGCCTATCGGAACTGTTATACTACTTAGGATATGTTGAGACTAAGTATTTTCTATTAACTGAACTTTTGTGAGCAAGGTTTGCTTCTCACGAAAGTTCATCTTCGTCACATATTTTTTTGGTGAAGGGGAGGGGCGCATAACAGACGAAACGACAAAAGATAGCACTAAGTAAACTTGTATTCGCAAAAATATCACAAGGGTGCAGGCGAGCTGGTGAATATTAACCTTTTTGGGTTACCTTGAGACTAGTGTAGAGAAGAAACATCGAAACGTAGAAGAGACAGAAAATGGACGGGACGACATCTCGAAGGAGGCTTCGACCTCTCTATTTTCTGTCTGGTAATCCAACATGGTTGTATTTGAAAACACAGAGGACGGACACAAAAAAGTGAACAAGAGCAAGGGCGTTTGTTTTTGTCTACTTTTTCGTGTTCGTCCTCTGTGTTTGCGCGTAGAAGCTTACTTAATTACATGGAGCACAGAAACAAGTCTTGCTAGACAAAATGTAGGGAGGGATTATATGATATGGAATCTGGTAATTAGCAATGCTTGTGTTCCCATAAGTATAAATATTACGAGTTTTTTTTTTTCCCGGAACTTCGTGATTATATTTGTAGACTCATCAAGAAGGAAGCCTTCTACATACACTGGAGGCCTTACACCCACTACGGACCATACGCCGTCGGGCTTTTCATGGGCCTGCTGTTCTACAGGAAGCAAAAGATACGCTTCAGCAAGGTTGGCAAGACACACTGATGTACTTCGTAGTGCAATGCACTGATATTTGGTTCCATAAAACAATTGTATCACTGTAAAAATAATATACGAAGGTTGCAAGTAATATCAAAAAGCCTACTTACTCGGTCGCGTAAGAGGCGCTCATGACCGTTTACAGTTTCCGGTGTTGTAGCTACATATGCCTAACGTTTTGCAACGAGCGAGATCCGGAGGGCGCCAAGAGTGTCTCTTAAGGTATATTCTGCCGGTTCATTTTTTTTAACTAGGAGCGAACCTTACTCTGCACATGATGCTACTGAAACTATTAACCTGCTATATTAGTGAATGATTGTCCATTTTGTTCTCGAGCTCCCCATCAGATATCCGAATTACTCAGGAAATTAAATCTTCAATATGACAAAGTAAAAACAAAACAGCAATAGTTAGGAAGCTATAATACATTCTGAATGACTAGTGATGACTCGCGTTGAACCCTTTAAAATGCCTTTATGCATAGCATTCGCGCTTTACTAAAAAAGCGAACTGGATTATCTTAAGTGAATATTTTTTTTATCATGCCGGAAAGCTTACATAGGTATACCATCGTTTATCCTTCAAGACTTTACTTCTAACCTGTACCGAAAGCTATGCGCTGCGTTAAGAAGGAAAGAAAAAAAAACTTCGGAACAGGAGCCACATAAAGGGAAGTAAGGCTTCAGAATTACGATAAGTTTGCATGGTGGGATTTGAAAAGCGATAGCCTTCATGCATTCGAAACCTTATCGCACGAGCCGTGTTTTCAAATTTTAATTGCCTTAGCAGTGAAGCTTTTGTCCTGTATAAAAATAGAGCGCGTTTAATTGACTCATTTATAGTGATCTAGATTAGAGCAAGCTGCCACCATAAAATGTAAACTTTTTTTATCAGATGTGTATCTTGGTTACACCGTTCGACTGCGTGATGACGTAAAGCTAATTGTCAGTCATAATGGCGCGTTTCGAAAGGTCATGCGTCCAGGCAGCGGGTAGAGCGTCATATCTGGGAGCTGTTAACTTATCTCGAACAAATTGTTGCCTCACTCGAATCTCAGAAAGGACGCATCGTCACAGCGATAATTCCGACATAGCGAGGAAGCATTTGTCAAAAGAAACTTGCATGCCAAAGTTACAACTTTACCATGGGCCGGCTATAGCTGAGGAGATAATAAAGTACGAAGCAGCTACGTCAGAGGAGTAATTACTTTTTTTCTGCTATTGTTCGAGGGTGTTTCGTAACACATTTAGTTTTGTCAAGCGGGTAAATAACCTGATTTTGAGAACAATATTTGTTTCGTAAAATGCAGTATATTGATGTCGTGTTATAGGCACAGATCCTAGCAAGACAAATTGCGGCGAACGGGTACTTGTTGAATGATGTTTCGCTATCGGAACTGTCAGGAGGCTTTCATAGTAATGGTGGCGGTTACACTTTTATTCCAATAAAAGACAACTTGCTCCTGTTTCCGAAGACACGCTGTGTAGTGCAGAACATTTTGTGCGAGTTGCTCCGCCTCGTGTGGCGCCCTTCCTGATTTTTCGAGATTTCCGTCACAGCCGTGTCGACACTGTTGTAATCACGCACACACAAAAATACATTTTTGAATAAGTTTACCGGTGAATACGTTTTGTTCAGTGAATTTGAATTAGTTTATAGTGACTGAAAGATTAAGAAATGCAGGACATGGCGAACTGTCAGCATCTCACTATCGGTAAGTAGCCAATAAAATTGCAGACTTAGTCGATAAAGACACACACACACACAGACATCTGAAATGAAAAAAAAAAAAAAAACGTAAACACAAAATCCCCAAAGTTTTTTTTTAGGGTTATATTAGTGACAATAATAAACACTCTCCGAACGTGTTTGCCATACCTGAGCAATGCGCACTGAACGCAGGGTTTGGCCATTCTCGGCTGGGCAATGGCCATCAGTCTCCAGTTGGCAATGATCTACGGGATCCGGGACTGGCACGAGCACTACGAGACCGTCGGAATCATCGGCTACGTCTTCGCCGTCACACACCGCACGGCATGGGCCGCTACCGTCGCCTACATAGTATTCGCCACACACTTCGGCCTCGGGGGTATGCATCAAGAGGGCGTCGTGACGCGTTGTGAATCTGAGTCACGCAGTGTCAACGTTATTAAACCACTCAGTTGGGAAACTGCCATAGAGATTGTTTTAAAAAGTGGCCCCGATTTGTCCTGGAGCACCGAGCTAATGACGAACACAACGCCGCCATTTCTCCCGCAGCGGCCATTCGAGGAACCGCACTTTAGTTCCATTTTGGCTTTAATCGGCCATTTTGGAGCCGAAACATATACAGTGGAAGAAGTTACAGGAGTGCCACCCCCGTCTCCCCAGCGGACGCGCCGCGTCTTACTACCGAAGTTAAAATGCGCCTAGGTCGGGACGCGCTACCTGAAAGCACCGCTGAGGCATAGTTGTATAAAAACAATATTAATTGTGCCGCAAAACCTTGCAAACTAAAGATTTTAAAAACATCACGCGCCCCTCATTTTGTACTGAACTCCAATAAATTTCATACAAAAAGAGTCTTTTCCGTGACTACAGTAGAGACAAATGATAAAGAGTGGCGCTTCTGTCGTATTTAGCTCGGTCTCGGTGGACGCCAGCGGCCCAGGTTTCGACGGTGAGTTTCCACACTGAGTGTTTTAGTAACGTTGGGCAGTGTGAAAAAGACCGCAGCCAAAAGAATGCTTTGTACTTTCGTTTTATCCAAACGTCCAAAAGTCCAAACGCAGCCGACGCTGCGAGCTGATGTGGCCAATCAGACAGCGTCAATAAAGCACCTTCATGATGTTCGTCATATTTTCTTACGTGTTCTACCATTGCTGAACCGACCATAAATTGAAAAGGCCTCGTGATTTTCTCTTTTGTCGGTGCTTGCTTGGTCCTATTAGCTGGTAGCTTCGACTGCGTCTGAACGTAAGCTCAAACGAAGTATGGTAATGTTTCAATTTCTTCTTTAGGGTTGTACCAGAGCTGACCGATTTGCTAGGCAACATAGGAATTTTGAATAGTGTCCACCACGCTTATAACTGCAATGATGTAAATCCACCTGCACCTGGCTGGTTTGTTCGAAAAAACATTCTTCACGAATGTATTCAAATTGCATGTCGTGAGTGTTTCAGCGTTTTTCACTGGAACTGAGTCTTGGTTACGCTGTCCCGTTTATACCTAAAATTTTACGAATATTTCTCGAACGTTTGTTTGAGCTGGCAGGCGATTCTTTTCAATTTTATACACCTGGAGTTCTTTCATCGGCCAAAATATTATTTTCCAAAAAATTCTGCGTTTTATGCATGGCTTGTTTAATATATAAATATATATAAACAATCGTATATCTGAATAAAAGTTAACAGCGGTTTGTATAACTCATCAGTGCTTTAGCGTATAAAACCTGTTATATGTAACACAAGGAGAAACTCGCCAACAAAGGCTAAGTCGAGCTGATACTTAGTAGAGCGGGGACAGGACGATGTTTATAGTTTCTCGAGTATGCTGAAGAAGTTTATGATTTCTCAGTTTTGAGGACTGCGCTTATTTGCAGGCTGGATCGGACAGTTTCTGCAGTGGAAGGCGCTGGTGCCGCTGAGTAGGTTGACCTTCCTCACGTACCTTCTTCACCCGCTGGTCATGTGGTACAAGAACGGAAACCTCAGAGAACGTGTGTTCCTCCGACACTTCCCCGAAATGGTGAGCTGCTCAGATATCTTATTGTTCAACCTCTTACGTAGGATGACTATGGCGCGCTAAGCAGACAATTCACTTGTTTACCATTACATGTTTGGCTTAATATCGCATTATAAATATAATAATAAGCATTTTCCAGATGGTAATAATAAAAAAATTCTTGAAAGACCTTAATTTTTCTTTTATTGATTAATTAGAAACACTGCGGCCCACGAATGGAGGTAATGCGACGTGGTAAAACAAATAATGACTGCCAATCTTTCGTTCTTGTTATTTTTCATGTTCAAGAGGTTTTTTCTTTGGAGATTTCAGAACATATGAAGCAATTCATAGATTAACACGAGGTATATTGTAGACTTTGGGAGTAAATATTATAAATCTATATTATGATTTTAAAAAAACGTGTAAGCGATTGAACTGTTTGTAACGAAACAATACACAATACCATAACGATAATGATCCCTGGAGAAGGGAATCAAAGAGGGCAAAGGACAAACACAAATCTCCAAACACTGTTAGGTAACTGGTGCGCGACTGAAGAATCCGCCTCGTCATAGTGTTTGAAGATTTGTGTTTATCCTTTGTCCCCTTTGTTCCCCTTCTCAAGAGATTATTATCGTTATTGTTGTCCAGCTCGCTTGCCCTTTTGGATTAATTGCTTTATCAACATAATGCCATTTTTATTTACTTTTCGTATATCTCAACCTTTGTCTAAGTGAAGGTATATATACAGTTGAATCTTCAAGTGCGTTTTTCTTATTTCAATGTTTCGTGGAATGGACAAGGGGCTGGTTTACGGAGTTTATTAAATGTTGTTTAACATGTAAATCCTAAACGTGGTCTTATATGTAAACGGTGCTGCCATAACAATATTTTTTTCTCGTGTTAGGGTGTAAACTAGAAGGAAAAGTTTCTCGAAATCCACGAAAGATTGGGAGGTATATACTATTGTTATAACTTGCTGTAGGATGCCTTCAAAATTATGTGAAATATCAATCATATAGGTTTTGACCTCACATTCATGGGTTTTATTACCTCTTGAGTAAGGAAGTAAAAATCAAATATATATATATATATATATATATATATATATATATATATAGAGAGAGAGAGAGAGAGAGAGAGAGAGATGCAATCGCTAGATAATATACCTACGTATAGTAAATTTATGCGACATAAGTCGATGACTTATATAGTCGATGTCCACCCTTTTTTCAACCGAGACAGGGTTTGCTGAATCCCCCAGCATATGCCGCTGATTATTATGGCCATATGTTGGCTCCTTTTCAAACTTAAGCCAATAGAAATATGTCACATATTTTAATGCCATATCTTTTTTGTTAGTATTGTTATCGGATCCCTTCAAAATAAACACCCCATAAGCTGGCCGCATTTAGGCGAATTTATAGAACTTATGTAATGATATACGTTACTCGCTTGTAATTATTATTTTTATGCTGGGCAGTTACACTTTCTATGAAAATTTGTGCTTGACATACTGTTCCTAACTGCGTCCCACTTAGTCTAAGGCGTTGCCTCTTTGTTGCGTTTCTGAATTTTTTTTCTCCTTATTGTCAGATTTTCTTGAGGTCATTTGGTTGCTTGTCATCCATGAATCATCAACATCTGTAACTTTGTCTTTTTTTATTTTACGGTAAATCATGTTCTTAAAACAATTGGAGGTCAGCTGCTTTAAGCACTGACATACCGACGGTTGCCTAAAGGAACCGCCTGTTTTCCTCTATCACACTTTCATTCAACCACTTCCTCTTCCCCCCTTGCGTTCTCTTACAAACTCACACGTGTTCTCGTCACGCGTGCGGCCTACTTTGGCCCTTCCAATTAACTCAATTAATTCTAGCTTATTAGCAGCCTACCTCAAGCAGAGATTTATTTCTTGTTCTGAAATTCCGAACTTTTTTCCGCAACAGGCCAACAACGTCGTTTCCGACCTGGTCTTCTCATACGCGGTCGCTTTCATCGCCACCCTGCTGTTCGAGGTGCCCGTCCTGAACCTGGAGAAGATCATCCTCAGGCCCTTCATGGGGGCGCCCAAGAAACAGGGTGGCAATGGCCGGTCGGGCAACGGCGTCTCGAACACGGCCTACTCGCCCGAGTCGCCTCCCGTCGACTTCGTGATTAACGGACACCACTACCCCGACGACTACAAGAGGGCCGCCGGAGAACGGAACAGTTCTTCGAGGCTTTGATGGGAACGACGAGAAACAACGCGGGGTACGCGACCGTATCGTACCAATACTACCTAGAAGAGGAGTCTCGCGCCTTTCGCCTTCAATCGTCATCGCTAGTGAATCTACGCAGCACCCCCTAGCTTGCGTCAGCGTCGCCGCCAGCGCGTTTCGCAGCGTCCCACACAGCGAGCGCTACGCTAGCAGATGGCGACGTTAAGGCGGACGTGCCGACGCCAAGACGGACGCGTCTTGGCGTCGGCACGTCTTGGCAAACACAGCTTCGGTGTGTTTGCCGCTAGGGGCGGGTCGGAGGATTCACAAATGATAACGTCATGAGTGGGCCTTGCCTTCTAGGCGGCGTTGGTCTTACCGAGTTACGTCTTTGATGGCGGAGGTGGATCTGCATTCCGTGCGCGTGTTGGTACGCGTCTACAATTGTCCCCGTCTCAACGCTTCCGCAGCGAGATATGTGAACAGCGGAAGACGACGTCCGGGGGATCGAGACGACTCCTATCGCGATTTTCTTGTTTGTTGACGGGACTGATGTTTTGTAGTTAGGATTTATTTCTTTTTGTTTTGGTTTTCCAGTTTGACGTATCTGGAGGACGTTTTGTGCGACGTGAAATATGAGCCCCACTGCATTTTAGTCTACGTTTACAACGACACCGTGCAGTGCGGTCACGACGCGGAAGCGTGGCCTCACGTTTGCTACGCACGAATTTAGGAATAGGAGATGGACGGTTTTGTAGACGCGTAAGTAACTAGGTCGATGAACGATATGTAACGTGTCACGAGAAAGAACACGTGCCATTTTAAAACAATGTTTAGTTGATGGGGCGGTTGCTTTTATTACACAGTCGTGTACAGTGTGCTCGGATTAAACCCCAGTGGTCTTTCGTTCTTCGATTTCATCGGGTCATTGATAAAATGAATTAATGCGTACATAAAAACTTTAGGGGCTACGCTTCAAAAAATTTCTAACGATGTCCTTCGGATAGCATCGTCAAAAGGGGATCGCAGTGTAGTAACCAAGAAATGTTTGCCTGGGTTGCACAGGGAGTAACGGCGAGCAATACCATCTTGATACCTCTCGTTGTTCTTTCGATTTTAGGGGAAGTTTACTCACACGCTCAATATCTATGTAGACCTCTGCACGCTCTTTAATCTACTCTCGGAGAGCGCCCCCTATGAGGTTGGGATACTTCGAGTCGCCTAATTTATGGTAATGTATAGATTTACTGCCTTTCTTTTGATACCATATCAAACGAATAAAAAGTACTAATGAAGGTACTTAGAAAAAAGTGTTTTATAGTTTGTTTTAAGCAAGAGTTTCGAACTCTGGCAGACCTCGTGAAAGTGTATAGCTCATGTTGAAATGACGGGCAACATAACCCAGACATATGACGTCGTCCGTTACGCCCTTATGTTTCTGAGATCGTGTCTTTTTGTAAATAAACTTCAAATTGTTTAACGAAGCCTGTTTGTCGTATTTCATCTGAATGGATTTGAATGTTGTTTTTTTTTTGTGGGTATTTAGCGCTCTGTTTCATGGACGCCGCCATGTTTCGTTTATGCTGACGCCACAACACAGTAAGGGAGGAGGGGGGGCTGGTGCCTTTTTGCGAGACTCCGTTTCTTCCTTGTGCAAGAACGTCAGAAATGCATGTTCACGAAGCTCCAAGAACAACACCGATGCCAAGAGTGCTGTAAAAAAGCAAAAAAAAAATCCTGTTTTATGCGCAGCCCCTTTTTTCACAAGAGCCCTGTGTTTGAGAGTATTATTTTCTTTTTTTTTTCGCCGAGGGCTAGGAGTTCAGACACTGGTCTATACAGAGGACTTGCACGTGACGTCAGTCCGCCCTCTTTCCGGCGACCAGAAAAACTTTAGCGCAACCGAAGCTACCCTTTCACGTACCCGTTTCTTCTATTATGTCTTACCAAATGACGCCACTGAGAGTAAGAGACGCAGGGAGGGGCGAGCCCGAAGCCCGGAGCACTCAGTTTGTAACACTCAAAATAAAAACGCCGTCGAAAAAAAAAAAAAAAAAAGAGTGTCGCAATTTGCCTTGCAATGGTGTTGCTACGTGAAATGTTCTTTGTTTAGCGCTAGTAATCTCCAGGCGTTTCTTCGCTAGCTCCACCTCCAGGTGTCTACACTGAATCGACTCCTCTCCAACCCTTCACTCCTCCCCACCCATTGACCCATGGACTTTCTCCGCGAGGTCGGCCTGCGTCCAAAAAGTACAAGGAATGACGGGCAGGCGGGTAAACTGAATTCATGTACCGTATACCGTCACTTTCCCCCTAAATATAGCCGGGAAAGAGAATTTCCGCATAGGTCACGTGACGTGAATGTTTCCGCAGAATTTAGCGCGGAAACAGAATTTATGTATGCGTCACATGACATATAGTCATATGCCATCATTTTCTCCCGCTACATTCAGTGGGAAAACTGAATTTATCCTGAGGTCACGTAATGTCCATCTTCCCGTTAAATCTAGCGGGAAACTGAATTTGCGTTTAGGTCACGTGTCACGTGACGTCATTTCTTGCGCTAAAATTAGCGGGGAAACTTAATTTGGGTATAAGTCGGGTGATATGAAACCACGTGACGTGTTTTTTTTTTTTCCTTACATTTAGGAGGAAAATTTGCGGTTACGCTTCTTCACGCTTCACTTCACATGAAAAAAAAAAAAAAAAACGTTTTACGATAAAATTACGAAGCTAAGAGATTCATGTGATGCCACTCGTCGCTCTCGCCGGGGAGGAGGCGCGAGCAGATTGTGTTCGGGTCTAGCTTCAAACCAGGAACGGTTCGTTTCACGCCAACGTAGAGGGCGCTCCGATCAAGAAGCTCTCCGTGAAATAGAAGAAGCAGGAGGGGCCCACGTTCGCGAAAGGCGACCGGCGCGGTGACGCCGCGGAGGTGAACAGACTTTGAAAAGGAAGAAACTCTCCTTGCTGACACAATAGGGAAGAAGTGCTAATATAATAGGAAATGAGCTAACAGAAGGGCCTCGTGACTCGGGCGCCATCTACCCGCGTTCAAGAAAAGCGCCAGGCGCGCTGAACATAATCTGACGCTGTGGCATCGCCTAAACAAGTTTCTTGCGCCGTGGCTGAAAGTGACTATACAACAACCAGCAACATTGAGCGAATCGTTCCTGGCTTTTTTTATTAGTGAATGGCGTTGAAAGGGCGAGTTAAATTTATTTTTCCTCACGCTCGCATCAAAATGTTCTCCTTTCAAAGTACCTGAACTACCTTGTCGGGTACTTAGCCGGTCGCAATCTTGCATGTGAGCCAGCGCTTCCTAGCGCTGAAAAACGAAAACCTATCGGATCACCTGCTATGCTAGACTTCAAGTAAAAGAAAAAATATATGATTCAAAGTTCTTTTTAAATTTTCTTGTTTTTTTATTCCGTCATATTTCTGGAGTTATCTGGACGATGTAGGCATAACGCACCTTCCAGATTACCACTGTCCAAGGCAGCTCACGGTGCGGAGGGGAGGTAGAGGGAAGTCCGGAGATAACCTATCGCACCGTTCTCCGCTCACATATCGTCACGTTGGACGCCAGCACGCAGCCAGGCAGGCAGGATTCGACCCTTGAGAAATGCCTATGAATGACCAACTGGAATGTAAGCGGTTTTTTCCTACTAATGCATTATATACGTATCTTGACAACTTAAGGAGAATATAAAATAGCGACAGCCAGTCAGAATGACAATGTTAAGGATATGTGCATGTAACATGCTCACGTCAATAGTGCAATCAAGTCATATCGGTGGTTCAATTTACCGGTTAATTATATGGAGATAAATGAAAAAAAAATTCCAAAGTACGCCTTTAGCATAGCCAGCTCGTAGCTGCATAGGTAAATGATTACTCAATGAAATTAAAAATGTGCTTAACCATTTTTTTTTATTTCTGTTTCTCTTAAGCTCTGGTTCGGCGCCTCAAACTAGAACACAATGGTAGCAAGCCTGTTCTATAGGGTATTGCATTTGCACTCGATCTCCAAAAAATTGGTTACAACAAAAAGTAAAAAAAAGTTAGCGGAACCGGCCTTTTAAATTTAAAAGCACCTGGGTGTTCGCGAGAAAAGAGAATTGTGTTTTCCAGCCAACGTAAATAATCTATACCCGTCGCAAAACAACAAAAATGTAATCCGAATGTGACGCTAGTGGTTGTGATGACGGTACCCGGACCAAAAGATATAAAAGGTAGGCGAAATTTCGTTATGAGCCGACGTGTACCCGAGCCGAATATACCGTCCATACCAAAAATTATATTGAGGGTGCCTGCAGCATTTATTGCCGCAAAGAAAACTTCTCAACAAGAAAACAATATTATTCTTTGGTGACGCCGCGGAGTGTGATTTTGTTTACTGATCTAAGTGCCACATGCATCCACGTTCTCAGCTCTTGCAGTGATACTTATACGCTCAAGAGGATATGTCGGCTTTGAAAGAAATTCCGCCTTTCTGAACTGTCTTTCAATTCAAGTGACGTAATGTTCTCAAACTTTCGCGTTCTATCCCAACCGATAGCGTAAGATTCCCGCGGAGTTTGAGCAATTCTGCGATGCAGAGCTTATTTACGCGGGGCAATAAACACGCTTATTTTTCCCTTACAAATGCCCGGTATATTCCTTTAGCTCACAGCATCATGTCGCGAATAGCATTACGCTACCAGAAGCAGTGGTACTTCTAGGAAGGTCAACAAGATAGTGACTCAAAAAACGGATTTCGCATTTCGTCGAGTTGAGGTAATGTTTCTCGATAAAGCTCTTTTATCTTTTTTCCTTTTTTTTTGGATTGTATCCCGGTGAGTAGCGTGAAAGCGGTTTCAGACATGACTCACGATGAATCACTGATAAGGTATCGGCGGCGAGCGCTGGTCGGCACCCTTACGGCGCATTCACACGAAGCGGTTGCGGTTCAGACACACCGAGGCGCGGCGGACGGTTTCTCGGTGATCACGCGTCATCTTTTCAGACTTGCGTTTGACAACCCTGTTTTAAAATCCGAAATCCACTTTAATACCCGATCTAAAGCCAAATTTTGCTATTTTGGCACTTTGACGATTTTTCTTGGGGATATTCGCACGCATCACGAGTTCAGGCAGCGAAAAAAGAGGCATGGGCATGAAAAACTCGCCTGCGATTCCCTCGACTTCGCTCACAAGCAAAGCCCAGATAGGCGCGCTTTGTTGACTGAGAAGAGAATGCCCCTGGACCCTTTATTCGAATTGGACCCTTCTGGCATCAATAGGTGACCTTGCTCTCATGATAGAGGGCCAGTTTCCCCGCCTCATTGTTCGTTCTTTTCATTTTCGAAGTTGTGAGTGCAGTGGTCTGGTGGACTGTGGTGCGGTTGAATGTGTTCTTTGCTAGCCGGTCGTGGCTTCGTTGGTGGCGGACTCTCCTCTCGTCACTCGCACGTCGATCGAGTCTACTGTTTGTTTGACATTAAGCTCAAATAAACGCCGTATGGATTAACTCTACATCGGCTGGTAGGTACACTTTATTTCTTGAGTATGTTCGCTTTATTTATTTTGGTTGTAGTAAACATACAGGTCAAAATAGCGCAGGTACCTTGCCAGCTCCGCGGTAGCGCGTTGGCTACGAAATCAGGCTCACGACGTCTTTATCGGCTTCCGTGGTGGTCATGCACGGCGTCGAAAGTTTTCAATAGTTCACGCGACTGTCTTAGTGGGTACAAAAGCTGACATTTGGTCGATCAGGTGCGGATAGCGACGTTCTACGGGCAAAGACTAACAAGGCAGCGAGCTTCGGGCAGTGGCACTTGGAATAATGGACAAACTTACCCGAACCAAAACACCGGTTTGAAGCTCGTTAAGATTACGAGTCAATTCTTTTCGCGGCGGATTCAAGTGACGGACGTGAACATCACGTTTTTCTGTTGATTTGACTGCTGTAACGCTGGACTACAGCGCCTTGGACGCCTCACCAGCGACGGATGCCATTTTGCTTCGAAAGCCACCAACGTCGCGTCAGCATCGCGTTGCGATTGGTCGCCGTTTCGCGGTTTGCGAAGGCGGTCGGGTCAAATCGGTCTCGAAGCGGTTAGCAAAAACGTGCTCCAACCGCTCGATCTCAGACGCTTTGTGTTTGCGGATCTGCTTCTTGTGTGAACGCGCCATTACAACGCCGCTATTCTTCGCGTGTACGCCCTGTTTTTCGCCAGGTTTTTTTCCACCCTAGGTGTCGTTGCAGAATTAACGATTCACGGCTACAAAATTATCATAAAACTATAGTCCTGTTGGCAACGAGATGTTTCAGTGGCGCAACATCGCGGTCGCTCGGCCTGTGACTTGGCGATTGTGAATCGAGCAGACGACGCGAAGGGTAATCGCACGGAGTAGTTATGTTAGCTCGCGTCTATGTCAATTGATTACATTTAATTTAGTTGAAGAAAACGTAACTGACATGCCTAGGAGTTTTTTTTTTCCTTCTAAATTACACCATTTCTATGCGACTTTTAAAAGACACAATCTTCAAAATGTTGAAACACAAGCCTGGAGCTTGACATGACAGCTTGCGAGGCGTGCACCGCGGTATCTTAAAGGGATGCTGAACCAAAATCTGGATTCCACAAAACACGCGGCAAAAGCGTGCAACGGGATGCTACAAACACCAAAACATCACCCATACTGCGATATCTCGACCGGATGACCGTATTTTTCAAAAAAAGAGGCGCATTTGGCAGGAATGTTGACGTCCTGTTTCTCCGAGAAGGAGAGGGGACGGCCTCGCGTCTTCTCCGCCTCACGGCCTTGAGGGAGCAAAGCGAAGAGAGGAGGAAACTAGGTATCTTGACGTCACGCGCCTCGTCGGCCTGGTTCAATCTCGACTTCTTTTTCCAAAAATACGGCCGTCCATTTGAGATACCGCCTTACTAGTAGTGTTGCAGGAATTGTAGCGTCCCGCCTACATCTCCAGCATTGCTTTTTTTGAAATCCAAAATTCGGTTCACCATCCCTTTAAAGTATTTTTAGAGCGGAGCTGTTAAGGGTTAGTTTCCTCAGGATCGTGTCCCCCGCAAACAAATGAAGACACCGAACTCTGGACACCTACCGCCATCTATGAGCGACGGCGGCAAGCCACGTATCTGGTTGCCACCGTCGCTCATAGATGGCGTCAGCCTTTCCACTCTGGCTTGCTGACTTGCGGCCGGCCATTACTTTCCATTGTACAGCTTCGCTGGTCTTCCTTCTTCATCAGAGTAAAAAGGATGAAAGTTTCTTTTTTTCTTATTGTTGGAGGTTATTGAAAAAAATTTTGTATTGCTGTAACCAGATTAGAGGACGTCTTGTCATCGTAGCTGTGCACGCGAACCTTGCTGTGTTGCGTGACGCAGATCGCGTTTCGCTAATTTGGAGCTTGCCGCTACCTGTGCTTCTATCCCAGAAAGACTTGGCATTTGCTGGCGAGTATTCGTACGATACCATGCAGGCCATGTCTAAATAATTGTTGTTGTTTTTTTCCAGAAGGGGCCTTCTTTTCTTTTAATCAAATGTATGACAAAGAAGTTGGCAACATGGAGACTTTTGCTCGAAGGAAAAGCTGAAATCTACATAACTTCTTAAATTGTCGGGCAATAGACCCTTTCCGAAATTCAGTGCCATCTGGTGGCTGAAATGGCGGTTTAACTTTTGCAATACGAATGGCGGCAATGAACCCGTAGCCTGCAGTATTTTATCGGGCACCATCACTTTTGCATGTCAACGGCAGACGACAATAATCTCTTCGCTATACAGGTTTTTCTGGATAATCTCTTCCAGTGTCGATTCCCACAACGATGCAACCAGTCAGAACGAAGCGCCAACCCAGACAGACGCCTTGATAAAGTTGTAAAAGTCAAGGGGTTTCGAAGTCGATTTTGTGCCACTAACATCGAATTAGAGAAATGAACACTTACGCAGCGCTTGCATTCAATTCCGGTTTCGTAACGTGCTAACGTCTAGAATATATAGGTCTCGAATCCTCAGCTTATTAGTATCTTCAACATGTTCCTTCATCAGTAATTAGAAAGCCGCCATTGGTATGGCACATATGCCATTTTTCAGATGATGATAGTGAGGTTCTTTTCTTCTCTGATGATGATGTTTGATGCTGATGCTAGCTGCTTGATGTCAATTTTGAAGTCTTGCCTCTCGTCGAGGATGTCGAATAACGCATCAAGGAGACTTGACGTCAAGAAGAACAAATGCGTTTACTAATTAAGAGCGAATATAAAAATTACAAGAGCAGAATTTTACAGAACAATCATCCTTGCCGGACACGGCAGGAGTCCTTCGGCAAGACCCGCTCCGGGAGCGTATATCTGGTCACTCCCTGGAGCTCGTACAAAAAACTCCCCTTCCCCAGTCCTCCTCGGGTTTAAAAACCCATGACCGCAACCTGTTCCACCCAATCACAGTCTAATACCCCTCCTATTGGGTGTAGTTGGCAACGCCCTCATAAGATACATACGAGAGGTCACGCACCCTTCCTCTGGGGCCCGAACGAGGACCCCTGGGTGATCGCTGGTCTCCGAACACCGGAAGGGTCGCAGGAAAAGGGCCCGAACGGGCACCCTTTCCACGTGTGGCGGCGTCGGCGTAGCCACCTGCCA